ATATATATAATTATAATATACATAATAATAATATATTGACGGTAAGTAGTATTCCTGTACACATATACTAAATGCCGTCAACATCGCTTGTTGACAGTAATTAGTGTCACCTGTGCTCTGTCTGTTTCTACCATATGTGTATGCCAATTCCGTGCAATCGGCATACTGTACTCCAGGATTTCATTGAACGGAAAGGTCCACACAACTTAAGGTCTTTCATAAAAATCTTGTCAGAATGTCACTGATAATCAAAAGTCTGGGTGCTTTGCGTCGTTGGGTGCGTTGCACAGTCAGGCGCTCATGAATAGAGATTTATTTTTTGGTTGACGGCCATACAACTATCGTATGAAGCAGCATGGACCTAACTCATCAACTTAATTGCAGCATAAGTTCTTGCCTATTCCTTGCTTTTGGCAAGATTACTTTGCCAAATAAATATATTCTGGGCAATAATAATAGTAATGTAAAGAGCACAGAGGCATAATGCGCACGCTGAATAAAAGTTAATAGCGTTATAGTTATTAGTTTGGTATAAATGATTATAGATAGATTGTCACTAAAATGTGAGACCCTATCAAATAAATTTGATTATCCTTAACAATCTTAGAATACAAAATATTCTATTGTGCATACACATCCGGCGACCTTACAGTACAATATATTTTTTCAACCCTATTTTGGGTTGCGAGGACCCATAGTTTGAAAACCATAGACTTATAGTAGGGCATTTAATCATCATTAAACCTGCACAAATAGAAACAATGACCAAAACTTAATTGTGTACAATTTTACAAAATGAAAAGCAAGTTTGAAATATTTAACTAAAATCTAACATAAATATCTTTATTATGTAATAATTATAAGTGTTTACTCAGCAAACTAAGTACTGTCAACAATCATCATTCAATTAGCATGTGATATACATACCACCTTGTGTAGAGTATCTGTGAATACATGACTACATAGAGAGAGTGACGCTGACCCAAGTACGGCTCATGTAATTTAATAATTGTTTCTGGTTCTTAAACTTCATTGTTTCTTTTGTCTGTCATATTTTTGACTTCTTGTGGAGGGGCGCCATGAGCGTTTTCTTTAAACGGATACCTGCGCTTTAAAAGTTTTCATTATTATTATTATTATCATCTTCAAAAATTCTTTGTTCCTAGGAATTTTCTGGCAGGAACGTTTGTTAAAATAACAGTTAACACACAATACAATGCATGCAAGGATAGGTCAGTCAGCCAATTGGTCAGCTATTGATGCTGGTCAAACTGTGAGCCTGGTCACTCTGTGTGCACTGAACCGTGTCATAGATTCTTTGCTCAATCACTGGAAATAAAACACTTTTACAAATAACTATGTGGTTTCATATAATATTTCACGTATTTTACGTATAGTAATAACAAGAAACATAAGGAATACACTGAACAATTATTGTTTCAACATCAAACATTATTTGTTAGATAGTCTATGATAGAATAATCAATAACGTAAATGTACATGGTAAAGTGAAACATTTAAAGTCAGACTTCGGAGGAAAAAAAATTTTTGATATGTTGTAGATCTGATTTTTCTAAGACAGAAAAAAGTTTTTTGACGAAGAACTAGGGAACGGTGAATGAGATACAGATTTTTGAATATTTTAAAACTGGGGGGAAAAGGGGCGTAACCACCCAATTTTACACCTTTTTTATTAATGTTTGATGTTGCCTGAGCCTGACTTTAATAAGTTAATTTTATACTGATTACAATGTCAGCCATGCCTAACAGCGAGGTCTTGGAATTTACCTATACCAGCACATTTATTGTTATGCCAGTTTTACAAGTTATTTACAACATGGCATGTGATTCTAGATTATAATACTTACCTGTAATTTAATATACTGGTATATTAAAATTTGTATAGGTATAGAAAAAAAAAATAAATCTTGATTTTACTTAATTGTAAATTTAAATATTCCAAACAACATTTTAAACCAAATGATAGAGTTTTTATCTGAGCAATTTCAGAGTAAATGGACATGCCCAAGCAATATTTTATTAGCAAGGTATAACTAAAGATTTATTGTTTAATATGAAATATTTTTACATTTATATTATCATATAAATGAGTATACATATTAAAAGTTTCAGGACTTCATGATCATACAATTCACAGTAAAAAAAATAATGACAAATTGACGTACTTTTTAGCCATATCCCACCATACAAAGTGTAACAGGACAAAAATGTCTAAAATTGGATATAGTATATATTTTTAAAATGTATTATAAGGATGGAGCTTATTATTTCTATAAGAAATATATTAGAAACTAATAAGATAAAACACTATAAAGAAAAATAAAGCCATTTTTATTTTTAAAAAATATGCAATTTGATAGTTTTTGTGGTTGTGGAGTGGACAGATTTTTGCTAATTATGCCTGCCAAGCCTTACTTTTGACCAATTGTATTGTAGTTAGTTATTATATTCTCTTGAATTGTCAGAGGGAATCAAATGTTAGTTTATTTTATTACTATACAATTTATCTTAAAATTTACTGTAGTAAACTGCAAACGTTATTTAGAAATCTTTTTTTATAGGATGTAGATGACTCATTGGTTAATCAAAAGTAGGCCATCTCTAAAGCACATAGCTCAAATCCAATCTATTTTTATAAATCACCAATTTTATACAGTATAATAATTCATGATTATATATGTCTACAAAGAAATATTTTAGTAGATCTGTGTACAAAATTAAACAACAACTAAAGGCCAACCCAGACAGCGTTGCCTGAAGCAGCCCGACACGGTTTGTTGTCGCATTGGGTCTGTGTAAGTTAAACGCAGATGGGATGGTTTGCATCAGGGGCAGTTGCGTTATAGAATATTAAACATGTTTAATATTTCTCAATACGGTTTATCATGGGGAGAGCTCCGAGTTTGAAAGTAGGAAATGACATGTTCAACTGGTGTGCATGGGAACTAGAGAAATTAAAGGTACCAAGTATAATTGTATTGAAGTTTTCATTGTATCAATTATGATAATTTAAGTCTTCAAGTGTATCACTATCATTTTAAATTTTAAGGTTTTGTTTAGAAATAATACTTAATTAACAGTTGGTTTATTTAGTAGCATTGGCATTCTATCAGTTTCATTACTTAAGCCGGGCACTCACTTCCTTCCCCCGGCAGTCAGCCGACATGATTCTATGAAGAACATGACAACACATGTGCAAATGATCGTTTTTAATGACGATCTATTTAGACTGCCGACAGTCAAGAGATGGCATCGCCTACCACTCGCAGGGTGTGCAGTTGGATTCATCTTACGATGCAGTCGGTGCCTGCCTTTACATGGTACTCTATGGGCTGGTTACACTTAGGCGTTGGGCCTTTACTGTATCTACTGGACAGAAAAAATCGATTAAAAATTGCTTTTTCGAAAAATCGCTTTTTTTCTCACAGTAGAAACGGGACCAGTTCAAAAAAAATAAAACATGCAATGGATAGTTTGAATGGCAAGTAACCGATTTTGGCTGTGTTCCTTTTAGCTGCAACACAAAAAAAGCAATTATCAGGTGAAATGTGACCTCCAGGTCAAACCACTGCAAAGCTAGATTGTATCACGCACAAACTTTCAAGATGATTAGTCCTCTTGTTCATGTTTTAGGCCTACAAGCTAGAACGTCAACAAACATTGTGGAGTGAAGAAATTGTTTTGTATTTATTTTTGTGGGGAATATTTGGCCTAGACCTCTCCGCTCTTCTGGGCCTACCATTGTCCTCATTTGTTTGCTTGTTCGTTATGCTGATAAGCATAGCCAAAATCATTCACTTTCTCACCACAGTCCGTATCCTACTCCTCGTCATCATGACCGGAATTCACATAGTAATTGTCTTGTTGGTGAGAAGGAAACTACAGTATACAGTTTAAAGGATGTGTTGTATTAAACAAAATGGTGATGTAATTTCCGCCTCGAAAACCGATTTTCGTAAAAGCAAAATTTTAGTTGCAACAAGGGCAGGCTCGCTGGCACTCATTAAGGAAGCGGTTAAAAAATTGATTGTAAAATCTTCTTTTTGTCTTTGTCAAATTGTTTTTGTTACGTTGCCTTGTCAACTGCTTTTTAGGGTAAGCATGTGACCTAGGCTAGGTTTTGCTTGAATTTTATCCTTTTGAATAGAGTGGTTGAAATGGAAAAAAAAATATTGTGTTTATCAGTAGAAATTCAGAGAGCCACACTGTCCATGTCTTGACAATGCTTCTTTATTTTGTTGTCTATCAATGAACTGTGAAAGTCAGTGGGAGCTTTAGTGATGACTGTTTTCCTTCCATCTACTGAACTCTTCAAATGTGGAATCTGTCCAGACCATAAAAAATGTTTGTAAAATTTGAAAACGTGTGACAAACGGTCATGATTACATCATAACTTGACCATATATAGGCACATCATGACTATATATGGGCATACAACATTTTTTTTGTCAAAAAAATTTTGATTATCTGGACATGGCTTTAATTATATAGTAATATCTTTTCCATGTGATGTGATCGGCTTTCTGTATTAAAATTGCCCAGATAAAGTTATAATGGTTTTAGAATCTGTTACATGAATTACTATATAATTGTATTTTTGCTTCTCAAAGTTAAAATAATTATTATTTCATGAAATGAAATTGTTTGCTACTTTGGACATAACAATACATTGCCAGTAAAGGTTTGTTGTGTTTATACAGCTATACAGGCTATCTACAGTAGTATACGCTTTGTTTATCTATACAGTAATTGGGTGGCATTAACATGAGAGTTTATTTGTTCCTATTGATAAAATAATGATTGTGATACAGAATATCTTACTGTGTCCACACGTGTAGTATTGATTTCTGATATGTGTATTATTTTTAGAATATATTTCCAAGTTAGTTGGTGCCTACAATCAAAATAATATTCTAAAAACAAAAATTAATCTAAAAAATGTGGCTTTGCTAGTTTCATTTATTTCCCAGAATGCAATGCAAAAAATATTTCTTTTGCCAGCGCCCATTTACCCCTCAGAATATATTGAAATCAATGCCAAGTTTTAAAATTTGTGGTTTTTATATTTTTTTTATTATAGGAATCAAATCAAAAATGGAATGTGGCCAACATCATGGTGGAATCTTGGTGTAACTGTTGCATTAGTATCCATAGTGATAGTGACTGATCTTGATATATTCAAAGGAATTAACAGACGACTATGGGCTTTCGGAGAATACTTCTATATAACCAATGGTAAGCTGCATAAAAATAGATATTGGAGCAGTTTCTTACAAGTATTAAGCTGTTTGGTGTTGTAATAGGGTATTAGCAATGCTGGTTTAATCTTCTCAAGAGTTCAAACTCAGTCATTAGGGGAAACCCCCAAATTTATTGGTAATTTAGTCAAAAAGTGATTTTGAAACTCTCAAGCGCACACGTTATGACGTGCACACGAAATATTTCGGTATGTGACATTCAAGCTCGACCTAAAGTTTATTCCCCACTGAATATGATTTAGAAATGACAATTGGTTATGATGATATTTTTTTTATCGATAATGTAAAACATGCAAAATTGCGCGTAGATATTTTTTTAATAGAGAATGCTCTTATGTGTATTTTTCCAAGACTTGAAGTAGTAACTGACATTACTGTAGGCCAGGGTAGGCATAAAAATTGGTCGGAGGGTCGAAGTGAATTTTTTATTTAACACCAAAGGCCACACCAAGACATTTACATTTCCAGTGGGCTTCCAAAAACCTTCATGCACTGCTTCTATTTAGCTTTATCTTCAGTACTACTTTTCACAAATGAGCCGTAAAGAACAAGTTCTTTTCTAGCCAAAGCTGGTTGGTGGGCCGCACACGTTTTTAATACATGTTCGCGGGCCACAACAAAATCACCGTCAGGCCGCATTTTGCCTACTTGTGCTGTAGGCAAATGTTTTTTAGGAAGGCCTTTGTACTCTAGTAGTAAAGTTAATAGCAAACTTTCCCTTGAGGGAAGTAACAGCTGGCATCTAAGCACAGTTTACAGTACCTAAACAATTGTCTAATATTATGACAACGTGATCAATAATGATTGTATAATGTTGTCTAGCAGAATATTGGAAGTGTGAAACAAGGTCAGGTTTTTAGCACCTGTTTTATTTAGAACCTTTTATAATATTGAATACAGTAGTAAAATTTCTCCATAAAAAGCATTGTGGAAATGTGTGGCACAGAGTGTAAGGCATTGGACTTTCAATCGTAAGGTCAGAAGTTCGAGACCGGTACTCGTCACACTGCTTGTGTACTTGAGCAAGATGCTTTATCTACATTTGCCTCTCTTCACCCAGGAGTATAAATGAAATTAGTAGTGATCATGACACGCATAACTAGGAATGTTCCCAGGGAGTGGAAGTTACACATTGTGTATGATTGATCTTGTATCCAATGACCAGGGCAAATAGCATTGTGAGACTGCGGTAAAGAGCGCTATATAAATGCTAACATTTATTAGTTAATTTATTGACTCAATGTGTACACTACTGCCTCAAGTGGAGAAGGCTGAGGAAAGAGATATGCTATGTTGCCTAGTACATGTAATAATACTTAATGAACATGAAATTTTTTAAATATGCTAAAGATATTGATGTAAATTTGATATCAAATATAACCTAATACTATATTATTAATTTTTGTATTGACAATGATGATGTACCTTTTATATTTCAGCGCCTCCATATTTTTATTTAAAGGTTTTAATTTTATCATGGCTTTTTGGAATCTTCTTCTTCATAATTGTGTTGTATGTTAGACGTTATCTACTTCGACTTCTCTTGGCATACAAGGGCTGGCTGTGTAAGTCTTAAAACAATTTTTATTATTTTTTTTCCTGACAAAAATGATCATGTACTAAAATAGTTAATTTTAAAATTGTAAACTACACAACAATCGTCAAAACAACATACAAGAACATAGTAAGCTCAACAATCCCAGAAATCACCATTGTGCCTACATAATTTATTACGACTGTATTTTGATGTGTTTTAAGACTCTCTTTGGTGTTTGTATAAATAAATAATATTCCCTAACATCTTTAAGTAGATGTCAGTGAACTTTAGAATGTCAGTGACAAAGTCAAATGCCTATGGTAATAATGACAGTGAGTCAATGTCAATGACAAAGTCTTTGTAGTTAGTCATTTGTGTTATTTAACCTCATTTCCAAAGGTTTGCGCTTCAAATATAGCTGAGACCTTTACGAAGTAAAAAAACAACCGTATACGCCATTGCTTTTTACCTTCATGAGAGCCAAATATTAATGTGTTAAATTACTGATGCATAAAATGCAATTATTTACAGATCTTTCATTGAGGTTAAATGATAAACTATTTGAGCATAAACCACTTTATTTTACCCTAATCTAAAGCATGTGCTGTCCAGCATACTTTCATATTTAGACAGACACTTGCTATAGTAGTATTACTATCCATTTCATATGGAAAAATCCTCAAAAATATAACCAAGGCATTGATTAGTTATATATTAAGTGATTGACAGATGACTTATCTACATAAATTCTTTAACATGGTACAGGTCCAATTCTCTCTAAAGAATAAAAAAAGGATATTATGTGCTAATGACACTTTAACATATGGGAACAATTTTTTGCATCCTAATTTGTTTATTTAGGCACACATGCACCAATGATTGTAAATTTAGCAAATATATCACTGTCCTACTTGTAGGTGACAATCCCTTTCACAATACAAACATACACACATGATGTTTTACACAAACTAAATCTTATTATGAGGTTTATGGAGTGAAGTTGTTTTGGTTTAAAAAAAAAAAAATCCAGCAACACTAACATGAATTGAACCCAGGACCCTGGTATTGGAAGGCAAGCATCTCAACCACCAAGCTATTCAACACCACTCAGTTTTTTATTCTTCAATGAAATGCTAAAAACTTACTTATCAACTATTAAGGAAGCAAGCCACATTTTGATTTTTTTTTCAAAGTTCATAAACTCAACACAAATGGTTTAAAGTCCCACAAATGTATAACACACTACAAAATTTACATTATATAATTATTTTTAAAAATAAACAATGGATCTGTGCCTCAATTTATTAACACTGTCCCAACCAATTTTTCCTACGCCTTCCTCCTCCAACCCCATCCTCCTTCCCCGATATAAACAATATATATATATTTATCTTAGTTAAAATTTTAGAGCTAAGGCATAATTTTTTTAAGCAGTTGAGTTATACATTACAATAAATGTAAATACAGTAGAACCTCGTTTTTACGTACCCCAGTTATACGAACCCTCTGTTTTACGTACGCCTCGTATGGACGATGACGTCATCAAAAACCCCGAAAATATTCAAAACAAACGGCCCTTTTGAGAGCAACCATAAGTAAAAAGAATATAACAATAAACTATAACAATAAAAAAACCATAATGCAACGTATTTTCATTAAACAGCAACGTTGATTGAGTCTAATACCGGGTTGTTATAATCTAAAACCATGCGAAGTGAGTGAGATGAACAACTACCGATGGTGCTCAAAATTATTGCTTTCCTCCTTAGCTTCGTGTGGCAAACCATGGAAGAACTCGTCTGGTCGAATTTTCTACACGAAGCTGAGTAGACATAGTTT